GTACACACACTTCACCTCCGGGGGTAAAAGAAAAAAAATATACATATAAGTAAATACTTTTTTTTTATATTTTATAATAGTAATACAAACTTAACACAATTTTTAAGTAACAACTTTTTTGTCCTATTCTTATGTACTATATCTATTTTATTATTCTTAATTATTTTAACATTTGGTCCCATATCTTCTAACACAATAAATGAACCATTAAATAGTTCATCTAGCTTTCCGCCTGCGTGAGCATTTTCCAACGCTCCTATAGATTGGTGATGGTATGCGGTTGATGTCAGATTGATGATGGCATGCGGTTGATGTTATTTTTTTATATTTAATAGTTTACAAAGCTCAGCTATTGTTGAAGATGTGAACTCAGCTCCTCGATCAGACGCCATTATCTTAGGTATACCGTATCTTAAAATAAAAGTATTTACTAGAGCTCTAGCTACGCTAACTGTTTCCCTATTTTTTATTGAATAAGCCTCTATAAATTTACTAAGTTCGCATTGAACTGTTGAAATATATAAATTATCGTCATTATCCTTTGGTAACGGACCCACAATGTCCATAAATATTTTCTCGAATGCATACGAGGCAGTGGTTGTCAAGGCTATAGGTTATTTAATATATTTACATTGCTTAGATAATTGGCATTTAGCACATTTTTTAACAAAATCTTTAACATCAGATTCGAGTCCTGGCCAGTAAAATCACCTTTTAATCTTATTAATCATTCTCCGAATGCCAGCATGGCCACTGGTCGGCAGTAAATGAAAATCATTTAATATAAAAGTTTTATCTTCATCATTTTCTATCCTAGTTACGCCTCTTAAAATACAAAGTCGTGGTCCGGACCACTTTTCAGCCGACATTATTTCATCATTTAAATCATTAACAAACTGTTCATTTTTACTAACCTTTATCAGGCATATTTCTTCAATATTTAACTTTTTACAATAATTACCTCACAGTGTCACAAATTCGACTCGCGAAAATTGTGCCCTAAAGCTGAGATTAATGTAAATTATTTTCTTACTAGGACAATAAGAGAAACATTCATATTCATTTCTTATTCTATTCGCCTTTCTTAATTTATCTATTTCGCAACTTCCGACTAATCTCATTTCTACAGAACCACACTGCTTTCTTAATAATTCCACAACTCTTGGTTGATCAGGTATTTCGTCTACAGTGTTATTAAAGAAGGGTGTTTCCTTTTCTATACCTTCCTCATTAAGTTTTTCCATTTCTCTCTTTTGTTTCCTTGTAATTACTGCCATAATTTGTTAATTCATACATTTCAATTCATTAGATGTATTAAATATTCTTGACAATGCATCGGCTCCTACATTTTCTTTACCTTTCACATATTCTATTTTAAAATTATACTCTTCTAATGTTAACCTAAATTAAATTAAACGACTCGACGGATCTTTCATACCGAATAAATATACTAATGGCTTATGATCAGTTTTAACAGTAAAATGTCTGCCAAATAAGTACGGCCTGAAATATTTAATACTTCAAACTATCGCCAATAGTTCCTTTTCTGTAGTCAGATAATTTAATTCTGCTGCATTCAAAGGCCTACTTACATACGCAGTGGCTTTAAATTTTTTATTACTTAAAACTGCACCAATTGCATTTCCCGAAGCGTCCGTGTTAAGCACAAATTCGTTATCTGGAGAAAAATGGGTATTGAAGAATAGGGGGAGATATCATAGCTTCTTTAAGAATAGTAAATTAATTTTGACATTCATCACTCCAAACAAATATTGACTTATTTGTAGTCAGTTTATTGAGAGGTATTGTTATATCAGCAAAAGAAGGGATAAATTTTCTGTAATAGTTACAAAATGCTACGAAACGTCGCACTTCATCAGCATTTATAGGCACTGGATAATTTTGTAATACTGAAAGTTTTTCAGGATCAGGTAAAATGACATGAGCAGAGGTTACATGTCCAAGGTACAAAATTTGTTTTTTCAAAAACTGACATTTACTATGGTTTAATTTCAAATTTACTTTTCTAAGTCTCTCAAAAATATCATTCAAATTCTTATTATGTGTTTCTAAATTTCTATCAAAAACTATTAAGTCATCTAAATATATAAAACATTTTTCAAACGTAAAGCCTGACATAGGCACTGACATTACTCTACTAAACGCACTTGGTGAATTTTTTAGACCCATAGGTAGTCGTTTCATATGGTACTGACCTGAATTAGTACAAAAGGCTGTACATTTACAATCTGCCTCATTAAGAGATACTTGGTAATATCCTGAATTTAAATCAAGATGAGAAAAGCATATTGAACCAGCGAGTGAATCTAAAATTTCAGTAATATTTGGAAGAGGGAATTTATCGTCTTGAATATTTTCATTGAGCCTCCGGTAATCGATTACTAAACGCCACTTCTTTTCTCCTTTTTCATCGCTTTTTTTAGGGACTAATAATATCGGACTAGACCATTCGCTCTTACATTCTTCAATTATATCGTCTTTAAGCATATTTTCAATTTGTTTCTGAACTTCAGGTTTAAGAGCTTGCGGAATCTTGTAAAGTTTTATATAAACTGGACTAACGTTTGGCTTTAATGTTATTTTCTGTTCATATATATTAGTCATTGTTAGTCTGTCACCCGGTAAATGAAAAATATCTGGGTACTTACTACAAATGTCACCTATAGATTTTTTCTCATTTGATTCTAAATGCTCTAATTTTAAAATTTATGAAAGCGTATAAGTTCGTTCTGCGTTTGCTACATTTTTATTAAAATTATAAATAATATAATCTTCTAAGATATGAACCTTAGGCACAAATGTCGCTAATTTAATGTCATTTTCACTTGTATTCATAATTTTAATAGGAATTTTACCATCCTCCACCGTCACAGTTGTACTTCCTAGAAACAAACCCTTACCTCTTTTGCGCACACTACACAATCACCAGTGATGACCTACGGCTCGGAGACCTGGTGCTTCACTAGGGATCTTTTTAGAAGGCTCAAAGTCGCGTAGCGAGCTATGGAGAGGGCTATGCTCGGCATTTCTCTACGTGATCGAATCCGAAATGAGAAGATCCGTAGAAGAACGAAGGTTGCTGACATAGCCCGTAGAATTAGTGAACTGAAGTGGCAATGGGCCGGCCACATAGCACGAAGAGAGGACGGTCGATGGGGCAGAAAGATCCTGGAGTGGCGACCACGTACTGGCAAGCGCAGTGTGGGACGGCCACCTACTAGATGGACCGACGACCTAGTAAAAAGCGCTGGGTCTCGTTGGATGCAGGTGGCAATGGACCGGTCGCACTGGAAATCTATTGGAGAGGCCTATGTTCAGCAGTGGACGGCGATAGGCTGAAATGATGATGATGATGATGACACAATCACCTTTCAAACCTGATTCAACCGCTACATAACGTACGCTACAATACGTATTGATTCGCATCAAGCAGGAATGAATACTCAGTCTGGCCATAAATACTGTTACAATTAAAAATAAATAAAAAATCTCTTGCAAATAACATTTATTACTTTTACAGTGTGTTAGTTTAATACATAAATATAAAACAATTTAAAGTATAAAAAGCTTATTCGAAGTGGTCTCCATTGGTTGCAATACAGTCCTTTAAACGTTGAGGCCAGTTATCAATAGAAGCACGCACTCTTTCCATGGGAAAATTTTTCACTGCCAATCGTACGGATTGTTTTAGGGACTCCAAATTATCATGGCGTTTAGAGCAAACCGTACTCTCTAAAACTGACCATAAATCATAATCCAGCGGATTAAGATCGGGACTAGACGACGGCCAGTCTTCAGCTCTGATGAAGTCCGAAACGTTCGTTTCCAACCAAGACTGCGTACACCGAGCTTTATGACCTGGCGCCGATTCTTGCTGGAAAGACCATTCTTGATTATTGAACATGGTGTTGTTAAGGGGCTTCACTACGTTCTCAAGAATGGTATCTTGATACACTTGTGCCGATGTTTTGATACATTTTTCACAAAAGTATGGCCCATTCACTTCTTCATAGCTAATAACCCACCAAACCATCACTGGAGTCGGATAGTTTCCACGTTGCACTTTGTCGACTAATTGGGAAGCTTCCTTAGAGCTTTGAACACAAATACGGTCATTTTGTTTGTTAAAATGTTGCTCAATTGTAAAAATTTCTCATCCGTAAACAAAATTTTTCTATGGCCTCCCTTTGCGTACCGCTTCAGTAGCTGTATCGATTTTACCACCCTATTCTCTTTTAAATTATCAATTAAGAAATGGCCAGTACGTTTCTTATAGGCTGCAAGTCCTAAGTCATCTATTAAAATACGCAACATGGTTCTAGGTGCTATCCTCATCTCCCGAGATAAAATCTTTTGCTTTCGGACAGGATTTCTTCGAATTCTTTCCCTTACTGCTTTGACCACCTTTTTCGTACGAACACTACGTGGACGGCCAGATCTTTTTCTGTCACAAACAGAGGAGGTCTCATTGCACCTATTAATAGCCCGGTACACAAACATTTTACTAATACCAAGCGTATGGAGAGTTTTANTGTATTTTTATTTTCTGAATTATTACACATTTTTTTTATTTCTAAATATATAATACTTATTTTTGAACTTAATTCGACACATGTATTAATTAAATCAGATCTTTTAGTATGCTTTACATTTTCTACAATTAAATTACTACTAGATATAAGGCTTTTACACTCTTTTAATTTATTCTCTATAATATTCCCCGTGAACATTCTCTTTCCAGTTTTAATTAAATATTTTTTAATTTCTGAAAGAGAATTACATATCGAGTTTAACTGAACTGGTGTGCCTGCACCGATTCTAGCGCACTTTAATTATAGTTATCTAATATACATTAATATCAATTAATAACATTTTTCTATAATAATATTATTTATTTTAATTTCTAATAACTTTAAATCGCTTTAGTATATTATTTAAGCACTTACGTAGATGATCCACCTACTCACTTTAGTTTTTATTCACCTCTCTCGTCGGATGATTTTTGAGCTCGTCGTATTATACTCGTAGCCCGCTGCAACGACAGAGAGTTCACTTCCTGGTGAATCCATGTTCTATGGCGTCGCTTGTACAGGACATAACCTCCGTATACCATGCCCAAAAATAAAATCAACAGCACGAACCCGAGAAGAATGTTGAAAATGCCAACTCGTGTATAAAAATCTTCTAGGTTAATTCTGGAACTGGCCCCAGCTGGCCGATTATTATTATTTTTTTTGACTGTGATGACTGACACATTTTATTCACTGCTTTTAATTTGAATTTAAACTGACAAAATTAACAGTTTGGCAGGGACGCCATGTAATGTTGTACTTTGGGAAGTGTTAAAGGGAAACGTCTTCTTGCGTGTATTCCATGTTTAATTATCATCTTAATCCTAGTTTACAATTATGAAGAAGCCTATGTTTCTGGGTGGTCCGCCTTATTAAGGGGGACGTACGAGATTACACCAATTAATTATGTTATATACTAAATGCTATGCTAACACTATGCTATACTATGCTATAATATATAATTATACACACTTCAGCCCTACCCTTCAAACCGAAACGTATTTCTTCTTTGCGTTAAAAATAAGCAAGGTGGTTGTACCCATGCGCGCTCACAAGACCCCATACCACCAGTACAGACGTCCTACTACTGGCAGAGATGACCGATAGACTTGTAGAGTAGTGTAAGTAGACTCAATGATAATATTTTATATGCTTATCTTAAGGATACATTTAACATCACCTACTATCCAAATTATGAAGGGATGATGTATGCGAGAAATTATGAAGGAAACATTTTGGTATTCACGAATTGGAACCGGAACAAGCTTTACTGTTGGAATATGGATACTCCGTATGAAGAAGAAAATGTTGATTTACTCTCGACGCTCGATGAGACTCAATATAAATTTTCAGGTAATTGTATAAAGAAGTTAAATTACCATCCAGTTCTCAACTTTAAGTGTTCACACTTTGAAGCCGTCGTGGCCTACAGGATAAGACGTCCGGTGTATTTGTATCTAGGGATGCATAGGTGTTCAAATCCCGCTGGGAAGTACAATTTTTTCTAATGAAATATGTACTTAACAAAATTAAATGTTCACGACTGACTCCGAGGTTGAACGAATAACATCGTGTAATAAAAATCAAACCGGCAAAATTATAATTTGCGTAATTACTGGTGGTAGGACCTCTTGTATCCGCACGGGTAGGTACCACTACCCTGCCTATTTCTGCCGTAAAGCAGTACTGTGTTTCGGTTTGAAGGGTGGGGCAGCCGTTGTACTGTTAAAACGGAGACCTTAGAACTCCTATCTCAACGTAGGTGNTCCGCACGGGTAGGTACCACTACCCTGCCTATTTCTGCCGTAAAGCAGTACTGTGTTTCGGTTTGAAGGGTGGGGCAGCCGTTGTACTGTTAAAACGGAGACCTTAGAACTCCTATCTCAACGTAGGTGGCGGCATTTACGTTGTAGATGTCTATGGGCACCGGTAACTACTTAACATCAGGTTGGCCGTAAGCTAGTCCACCCAGCAAAGCAATAAAAAAAATCTCACACTCACACTTTTCGCAGCCTTAGAAGCATCCGGTAACGGATTTTTCGGACTAATGCAGAGAACTTTAAATAGCACGTCGTCAAAGTTCAATGAAAGCAAATACAATATTTGGTTTTTCTCGTGAGTATAATTATAGATTTTTGTTTTCGCGAAAATTGGGCAAGCTACCTGCGTTAAAAGCGGTAGACCAGAAGGTGAATATTGCTTGCTCTTAACATATACAATAGATTGAAAACTGAACTACGTTTATACAAATAATAAATCAGATGGTCAGGTAGATAGGAAAATATATGAAAATACCATTATTACCACTGCTTTTTGGGGGGATATGAGAGAAGTAGTAGATAGATATCAAAGTCTTCCGATTGGCGATACCAATGCAGCAATGCTAATTTTTTGTAACAACTCTCATATATCTCTCTCTGTAGCCTAGAAACCATATCTCATAACCCTAACCGTGGAACGTCCTGCACCGGGGGATCTTATATAATCACAGTCTGTCTAGATGTAATTGGAAGGAGTTAATACACTTACTCCAGTACCAGCATCATCTGTTCTATAGCACCATTCTTACCTTGTAGTTTGGCCTGAATTTCCACCTTATTCATACACTTATTCTTCTAATCAGCGTGAGATTGTTCAATAAACGGACAAGGTGTTCAGCTTCAAATTAAGAGGTAGCAATTCAGAGTTCGATTAAAACGCTATCCCTAGTTCTTATTACGATAAATATGGACTTTGGCTTGCTATCTGAAATAATAGATTATATTTAATTCAAATGGAGGGTCATTTGTTTGGAATTGCTTAAGATTGTTTTCTTATTGAATACATATATGTGTTATTGTCCACACATATAATAATATGTACACATTATAATCTGCAGACTATATCCGTAGCCTTAAATTAACTTCCTTGAATATTGTTCCCTTAGTTTTAATGTATTTTTTTTACATTTCTTGCACAACTTAGAATAAACTTTAGCGAGATGCTGGAGGGATCAAAATGCACCAAGAGTAACCAGTGCACGGATTACCTGACGCGGAGATCGGCGAGCCAAACATTATTATTTTTAGGAAGAATAGTACCAAAATACGTATCTGATAACGTCATTAGAAATATTGAAAATATGTGGAAGTAAGGATTTTTTGTTGTTAATTTAAAGGAATATATTCTAAAATATTTGATAGCCTGCAAGGTAAGTCTGAGTACANAATGCACCAAGAGTAACCAGTGCACGGATTACCTGACGCGGAGATCGGCGAGCCAAACATTATTATTTTTAGGAAGAATAGTACCAAAATACGTATCTGATAACGTCATTAGAAATATTGAAAATATGTGGAAGTAAGGATTTTTTGTTGTTAATTTAAAGGAATATATTCTAAAATATTTGATAGCCTGCAAGGTAAGTCTGAGTACAGGGCATATCTGATGGTAAGCGATCAACGTCGTTCGTGAAGGTCAGCAACCATTTTCGAACTATTTATTGCTGAGGACTCCCCCTTCCTGTCTCATTTGAAGAAAGAGTTGCCGAACCGGTTAGAAAACACCATGAAACAAAATATGTCTGGAAATTAAGTTCCGATCAAGTGCTGATGAAGTAGAAACGTGAGGTGATGAGAAAACTGAAATCACGTGATCATGACAAACAATTCTTTGCAATTCTGCTATTGGAACTAATTATACAACACACAAATTTAATCGATTTCTTAATCTTCTTCTTTCTTTATACCCGAAGAACTTTTCAGTTAGTTTGCTATTATAATGCAATTGTGATGGCGATCTTGACTCAAGTTAGGCTGATACTAATTACATTGTTTATTCCATAAGCCCGGACAATTGTTTAGCACGTTGTGAATGCGCAAGGGTCTGTATCACAATTACACTCATTGCTGCCATGAAGCCATTGTGTGGTATATTTAAATGGCAGAACAGCCTTTATCGAAGCGTATTTTTAAATTTTACCCAGAACTAAGTTTTCTTTAAATGGACTTCGAAAAGTGGTCAGCACGAAGTCCAACGTGGGCTCTGTTTAATATTTTCGTCAATTAGAAACAATTCGCTAACGAATTTTTGGAATATATTTTTTCAGTGATTGTCATATTTCTGTTCTAGTGTCACGGGCATCATGAATTAGGACACTCTACATAGAGACTCGAAACGTGACCTTCAAAAACACAACGGCGTTTTAGTTTTTGTAGTAGTAATAAATAAACTAATAGAACAATACAAGACTTTTATTTTTGAGACATAAACAAAAATGTATAATAAGTATTTATTATCACAAGTCGTCGTGGCCTAAAGGATAATGAAGACGTCCGGTGCATTCGTATCTAGCGATGCACCGGTGTCTGAATCCTGCTGGCAAGTATCAATTTTCTAATGTAACACGTACTTAACAAATGTTCGCGATTGACTTCCACGGTGAAGGAATAGTATCGTGTAGTAAAAAAAAACCAGCAAAATTATAATTAGCGTAATTACTGGTGGTAGGAGCTCTTGTGAGTCCGCGCGGGTAGGTACCACCGCCCTGTCTATTTCTGCCGTGAAGCAGCAATGCGTTTCGGTTTTTTTATTTTTTTTTTATTGCTTAGATGGATGGGTGGGGCAGCCGTTGTAACTATACTTGAGACCTTAGAACTTGTATCTCGAAGGTGGGTGGCGCATTTACGTTGTAGATGTTTGTGGGCTCCAGTAACAACTTACCACCAGGTGGGCTGTGAGTTCGTTCAACCTTCTAAGCAAAAAAAAAATATCTTATGCATAATCTGGTGTCGCTTACGTGTGACACTTCATGACCAAATTCTGACCAAGGGATTCTACAGAAAATGGATGGCAGCGTTCTCTAAGTTTACAAAAAAATTACGATCACTCATCCGCATGCCAAGCGTATCCGGTCACCGTTCTCGTCGAACCCGTCGCTTGCGACAAAGGGCTCGACAAGTAAATTAACCCTCAGACACAGCCCACTGAGTTTCTCGCCGGATCTTCTCAGTGGGTCGCGTTTCCGATCCGGTGGTAGATTCTGCGAAGCACGGCTCTTGCTAGGGTTCGTGTTAGCATCGTCATCAGGTTTGAGCCCCGTGAGCTCACCTACAAAAGTTAGGGTTACGCTGAAATAGCCTCTCAAGGCTCTCAGCTTAGGTAGGAAAAAAAAAAAAAAAGCCAAGCGTAATAACTTTTTGACTGCGAGGCTCATATTAATTACAGTTCTAAAATCACTCATAAACCGAAATTGTATTCAATGGCTAAAATATCTCAGTTCCAAATATTATCGGAGCGGTTGTAGACGTGCTTTTATCATGCTGTATTTATTATTAATCCAGTTAATAATACTGCCAGTGTATGATGCTAAACGAAACTTTACGCATGAACATAGTTGGAGCCTGTTCAGTTACGATATTGATGGAGTAAAATGTAAGTTTAAGTTCTATATAATATATTTGCCATAGTATTTTTTACTATTTGCGAATTGTTAGCGGCTAAAATGATTAGTGCTTACAGCGCATTTGATGTTTGGAATTTCTAGAAATAACAATACGAATACTGGTATACTTTTACTGGTGGTAGGACCTCTTGTGAGTCCGCATGGGTAGGTACCACCATCCTGCCTATTTCTGCCGTGAAGCAGTGATGCGTTTCGGTTTGAAGGGGCAGGGCAGCTGTCGTAACTATACCGAGACCTTAGAACTGATGTCTCAAGGTGGGTGGCACATTTACGTCGTAGATGTGTATGGGCTCCAGTAACCACTTAAGACCAGATGGGCTGTGAGCTCGTTCACCCATCTAGGCAATAAAAAATAAAAATATAGAATTCGAATATGTTATCCATAAAGTTGATGTTTATAATATCATAGTAATACAGGTTTTCCTATACTTCGAGCAGGTATTCGTCATTGTTCCACAGGAATAGGTACTTTGGGTACGAATCATTGGTAGATTTAGTTGATTGCTAATATTGTTTTGGGATACAGTTGACTGTTAGCACTTTTGCGTACATTTTAATTTAGTTACATTATTTACATCGTCGTTATATACGTTATATACTATTCTACTATACGTGTGTCACTAATCTCCGAACTCTCCGATGATACTTCTGAATGATGTAAATGTGGAAAAACCAGCTCATAGTTGTAATAGGATAATAAGGTAATCATCGAAACTGGTTGTATAATTGACTGGCTCGCGTTTGCGACTAGGTGTGTTTTTGTAGTCAGTTTAGTGTTTTTTTTTTTAGTTTAGTGTTCTTGAAACAGTCTTATTTAAAACTATACACATGTATGCGACATCGACTTGTGCATATTTATCAACCTTGATAATTGGGATAAAGGACTTTCTATCGTCTCGGGAACTTTGACTTGGAAAATCTGCAGAAAGAGACATTATTTGGGCCCAGAGACGTTTTATTATGGGCAGTTAAGACAGAACTCATGTCTCAAAGTGGGTGACGGTTCAGTGTTAGTTGAGTATTAGATCTACAGTACACCGGATGCCTTACCGTTCATGCCGGATAGCATTAATGCTTCGCCGCAGTAATAGGGAGGCTAGTGGTACAGCACTGTACTGTCTCAAAAACAGCCCCCTTGTACTAGTAAAAGTTTTAGTACCATCAGTAAATTAGTTTTTGAAGTCGTCGTGGCCTAAGGGATAAGACGTTCGGTGCATTCGTGTTGAACGATGCACCTGTGTTCGAATCTCGGGCGGGTACCAATTTTTCTAATGAATTACGTACTCAACATGTGTTCACGATTGACTTCCACGGTGAAGGAATAACATCGTGTAATAAAAGTGAAACCCGCAAAATTATAATTTGCGTAATTACTGGTGGTAGGACCTCTTGTGAGTCCGCGCGGGTAGGTACCACCGCCCTGCCTATTTCTGCCGTGAAGCAGTAATGCGTTTCGGTTTGAAGGGTGGGGCAGCCGTTGTAACTGTAACTATACTGAGATCTTAGAACTTATATCTCAAGGTGGGTGGCGCATTTGCGTTGTAGATGTCCATGGGTTCCAGTAACCACTTAACACCAGGTGGGCTGTGAGCTCGTCCACCCATCTAAGCAATAATTTTTTTTTTTATCTATTACACTTTATTTTTATCAGACGTAATTTGGATTGTAAATTGAAATATAAAAAAAAACTAATTTTAATTTACCTAATATGGTACGTTAATGAGATGATGATTTACAATTGCAGTAGTTAGTCAATTTCTTTTCCAGATACGAATGACTCGGATTACGAATACAAAGACGGGGCGTTCACCTTTCGGAACGTGGCCTTAGAGGAACATGAAAAGTTTCTAATAAGGCAAAACTTGATTCCCTATGACTTTATTTATGATGTTCCTCGAATAACAATAAGCATCCCTAGAACTCGACCTGGTATGAACCACAATTAGTTTTCGGTGTTTTCTGAGCGCCATTATATGAACTTCCTCAAATGAGGCTTAGGAAGAATACTCAACGCTCGGCAGCGACTAAGTTATGACAGGTATTGCCGATGTCCATGGGCGACGGTAGCTGTTAACAACTAGAAAGACCTTGCCTTTGATGTGACGGGATACGCTGTTTAGCTCGTTTAGCGAGCTCCACCTCCACATTTGAAGTCGTCATGGCCTAAAGGATAACGGACGTCCGGTACATTCGTATCTAGCGATGCACCGGTGTTTGAATCCCGCAGGCGGGTACCAATTTCTCTAATGAAATACGTACTTAACAAATGTTCACGATTAACTTCCACGGAATAACATCGTGTAATAAAAATCAATCCCGCAAAATTATAATTTGCCTAATTACTGATGGTAGGACCTCTTGTGAGTCCGGACGGGTAGGTACCACCGCTTTGCCTATTTCTGCCGTGAAGCAGTAATGCGTTTCGATTTGAAAGGCGGAGCAGCCGTTATAACTATACTGAGACTTTAGAACCTATGTCTCAAGGTGGGTGGCGCATTTACGTTGTAGATGTCTATGGGCTCCAGTAACCACTTAACACCAGGTGGTAAAAAAAAAACAACAAACAGCTATTGGGTCAACGATGATTGTTGTTAATCAGCCAACGAACAGTTCAAAATTTTATATTTCAGGAATACCATTTACTGTCAACTTTATTGATAGGTTTCTTGATGAAGAAGTACCAATGCTAAGACCATTTCCTAATTCAAACGAAGGTAAAGAATTTACATCGGTTTTTAACATGTTTGAAGACAGCTGTTCTAGACTTTGGTTTGTTGATACAGGATACCTCGATATCCCAGGTGAGTACTACATTTGATCGCAGTTTCGAAGACTAGTATAATACTATGATACAAAATATTATAAACAGAACAGCCATTTTCATAGAAGAAGAAGACAGGTCGTCGTACCCCCTTACGGGGGCACGGAACGGGCTTCGGGGCAAACCCCACTACCCGGGCGAAAAACTCCCAGTCACTCAGGGCAGGGGTGATGTGGGTGCAGGACGAGATGGAAGAGGGGAGAGATGTTCGCAGCTTGCACGGTTACAAAAACATCGACATGATATACCTAGTCAGGTCATAAATTCTGTCACATGTTTAATGTAAAATAATTGAAACAAGTTTATTCATTACGTAACCATTCATATACCAAAATGAACTTAACAAAACATAGATTCTTATGACATTAAAGTTTATTCAAAATGACCTCCGTGATTTTGAATACAGGCCTTCAATCTGCGCGGCCAGTCGTCTATCGCAGCACGAACGAGGTCCATGTCAATATCGGCGGCTGCCTTAATCAAGGATGTCTTGAGTGACTCCAAATTGGGATGAGGNAGGCCCACCCAAGAGGGGTGGTAGAACGGGTCCCCATAGGGGCGCACCCCAACAATGTGGGGGGAAATGACGAGTGTGGACAGCTCAGTCCCTTGGGGGCACTCATAATGAGCACTCCCATATCACTCCGATTAAGCCGACTTACCATAGCCGTGGGTTCCAGTAGCTCCCTTGGTAGCGCCCGACCATCTGGTGGTCTGGCGTGCAAGGGAGCTATATTGTGAAGATGCTCGTGGGGTCCACCGTCAGCCCGCTAGTAAAGATTACGAGTTCCGGATGAACTCCTCGAGCGACTTCACATCCAGATCCCAAGCGATTACGTCATTTCTGAAGTAACGCCCTGCTCCGACTATCGTGCGAAGAGCCAGATTTTGCTGGGCCTGTAACTTCACCCGAATGATCTGCGGGATGAGGTGATACCAGGCCGCAGCTGCGTACGTGATACGGGAACGAACATACGTCTTGTAAATGCCGAGCCCAGCCCTGATAGGCAACCTGGAGGCCAACGCCGACTTGGCATGGACGGTCATCTTCAAACTCCAGTCGATACTGAACCCCAAGTACCGGACGCTGGATCTAAACTCGACATTAGCGTCACGGAGACTGAGATAGCTCCGGGACGACTCTTGTGCGGACCGGACCGAAGAGAATAGCCGCAGTGTTCCTCACGTTGACCGTGACCCTCCATCGGTCCAGCCACTGGGACAATAGATCCAATAACCTCTGCATCCCTCGAAATGGCCGCGGAGGGGAAATTTGAGGACGCGAAGAAGGCGCTGTCGTCGGCAAACAGCGCCCTCTTCACGTAGGCTTCTCGCTCTCGGAGGTTGCCCTCGAGAGTGGGAATGTCGTTAGTGTAAGGAGCGTAGAGGAATGGTGCCAGGACGCTTCCCTAGGGAACTCCGGCCGTAACTGGGTGCACCGACAACTTGGCGCCCTCGACCGCGACAAGGAAGGATCTTCCCTCTAGGTACGACCCCAGCAGTCGCAGGTAGGCGTGCTGGAGGTCCGTGTTCTGCAACAGCTTGTAGATCAGTCCCGCATGCCAGACACGGTTGAAGGCTTTCTCGATATCGAGAAAGACTGCGACGGTGTACTGGCGCGCGTTGGACCGATCCGCCAAGTGATGCATAACGCGGACCAATAGCAGCGTTGTCGAGTGGCCGCTACGAAACCCGAATTGCTCAGGTCTGAGAAGGATGTGCGACGACACCCTTCTCAGCAGCAGCCGCTCGAACAACTTGCCCACATGCGACAGCATGGTGATCGGACGATAACTGGAGGGATTTCTCTTATTCTTGCCGGGTTTGGGTAAGGCAATAACCTTGCCCAATTTCCAAATTTCCGGGAAGTGTCCTGTGGACAGAATGGAATTGAACAGCCGTGTCATATATGACACGACCGTTTCAGGGAAGTGAAAAAATGCGAAGGAGGGAATACCGTCCTCACCCGGCGCCTTGCGCCTCTTCATCCGCTTGATGGAGAGGTGCTATTCGCTAGGAGTGATGAAATCGTGATCTCCCAACGATTTTCATAGGTAAGGGGAAAGATGTAGTCATGCGATTATTCACGACAAGCGGCCCGATCCGGCTCCAATCGGGTCTTAAGCAAAAATTTCAACGATATTTGACGTTGTTTTATTGTTTTAAATAAAATAACACTTATTGCGGCATAACTATAATAGTTAGATATGTTGTCGCCACCCTTTTTGTAAATAATAATGTGTTCTACAAAGTCGTAGTACATTATTTTATTCTATTATCAATAGTTTTCGCAGGGCACGCGATCTAAAGAATATTTTACGTAATTTTTTTACACCTTGGGTTACATTATTGGAGTTTAGGTAAGGATACCTAATTTTTTTCAAAATTTTTATAGCCTATGGCATTCGGGAATAATGTAGCTTTCAAATAGTGAAAGAATTTTTCAAACACACAAACAAATCTTTCCTCTTTATAATATTAGTATAGATATTGCAATTATGGACATGTCGATTTTAATACATAATGTTTTGTTTATAGAAATGTATTTTGAGTGTCGCGTTTGTAGTATTGATTGTTTGAAACCAATATTATATTTTGAATAAAATCTTATACCTTTAAATGAGCAATTCTTGTATATGTACAACATGTAACATAATTAACGCACACCCTGAAAGTAATTTGTTCAGAATCAGAATCTGGATCGATTTTGATTGTTTTTTATGTACCAAATTTTTTTTCTAAAATTTAGTTAAAACTAAGTAAATTACAGTCACCCTACACAGCTAGCTAAACAGTTCATAGAAACGAAAATGGAACGTAAGTCGGGGTATTAAGACTTTTTAAAATGAAATATCTAATTAGTAAAAAAATATATTATTTAATTAAATAAATCTGATACTTATTTCAAGGCTAATATTGCTATATTACAAAATAAAATACCTACGCACACAATACGAACAGCGACCGCCGGCACACAGCAACACTACAATACATAAAAGAAAACCACGTAATACAAAAATAATTACTATCCCTTTCTTTCGTCGGCTTAATATTCTTACAATAAACGGCAGGCTAATCCCGATGCGACGCGNGAATAATAATACTATTTTTCAGCAAATGGCATTGTTAAGCCACCCGAAGGCACTTAAAAATGCCTAAACGATCTTGGAATATTTCATCATTTTATCCAATATGTAGTTCGTATTTAAATATTATAAAAAAAAAAGAGCAAAGAGCTTGGTCATCGTCTAGTTTATTCTTAAATGTCTTACTAAAACATTGTATAATTAAATAAATTCAAATTTTCAGGTGTGCGAAAGCAAGTACAACCAGCATCATTGATACTTTACAGTACTAATTTAAGACCAAAGTTTCAGTTCAGGAAAAATATTGACAGTGCTTTTCTCCACAATGGTATCACTAGTGGCAAGTTACCAATACATTTATAAATTATAATAAATAAATATCATCATCATCAGCCTGTATCTCTCCACTGCTGGATGTAGGCCTCTCCCATAGTCCGCCACAATGAACGATCCTCCGCCTTCCGCATCCAACCTCCCCCAGCATATCGCCGCAAGTCATCGGTCCAACGGGCAGGGGGACGTCAAATAAATAAATAATCAGGGATAAATCACACAGATCTTAGAACTTATATCTCGAGGTGGTATTTACGTTGTAGATGTCTATGGGCTCTGGTAATCACTTAACACCAGGTGGGCTGTGAGCTCGTCCACCCATCTAAGCAATAAAGAAATCCACGGCCATCTGAGCCCAAACTCAGATACCTAGGACCGATAAACATAATAACATAAGTTTAAATATTTACATATGATTGATAGACTTTGATTACCCAAACAAGGAGAAAACATAATTGTTCCTGACGCGAATATTTGCTCCGTATAGAAGTCAAACAGACGAACCTTGACTTAAACGGCCGTCTGGTGTAGTGGTAAGTGACATGGTCACTACACAAGGGGGTCGCGGGTTCGAATCCCGCCAAGGGAAGATATTTGTATGATAAATATAAATGTCTTTTCCAGGGTTAAGGATGTATATTAAATATATGTACGTGTATTTTAAAAATGTTACATTTATATCCGTTCTGGTACCTGTAACACAAGTTCTTTACGAACTTAGCACGGGACCAGTTAACGTGGAGTGATTGTTATTAAAAAAAAAGAAAAAAGTCGAGGGCTTTAATAGCGTGCATTTAATTGTAAATTTCATACAAGACGCTCACAACAGAAAGAACAAATAAGAATACAGATCAAGAATCCTCTGTGGCGGGTAGCCATCATACAACGCAAGATATTTGACAGATGCCTGAATGTCGCTTACGACATTTTCAAGATAAGCTAAATTCTATAATATAAAAAATAAATTTTCAGGACTCCGATCTCTATCGGTTGATTTTATATTACCGTGCTCCGAGTCTTACGTATACATTACTGACGACACTACCGGCGACCTCATTGTCTTCTCGCTTCAGGACTTGCGTTTTACGAAAATCAGCCGCGCAAGTAATACGGCTGATTCTTGGGAATTTATTGTGCCACGTATGTCTTTTTATATGACTTTGGATTCATCGTTACTTAGAATAAGTTTCCAGAAAACCTATGTGCGTTGTAATTGTGTACACCGAAATTCCGCTGCATCTTTCATACATAAATACACGCCGATTTTATAGCTTAAACTGCGACTATCACAGAATTGTATTTTCTTCTTGTATGCGACAACTGTTCCACACAGAACACACATCCACTTTTAAACTACGGGCCATCCACTTTTAATCAACGGGAAATTCTTGTTAGAAGTTTGTTTTTATGCATTATGGATGGAGGAGCTCACAGCCACCTGGTGCTAAGTGGTTACTGGAGCCCATAGACATCTACAACGTAAAGGCGCCACCCATCTGGAGATATAAGTTCTAAGGTCTCAAGTATAGTTACAACGGCTGCCCCACCCTTCAAACCGAAACGCATTACTGCTTCACGGCAGAAATAAGCAGGGCGGTGGTACCTACCCGCGCGGACTCGCAAGAGGTCCTACCACCAGTAAAGTTACATTGTTATTCGTTAAAAGTTGCCTTTGAGTCCACACGCCCTTGGTAAATATTAACATAAAGAAATAAATGTTTCGCCCGACGTGAAACGAAGTTGAAATGTTGATTGTGCTGCGATTGATTGTAAATTATCTACCAAAGAAATGGACTCCGTGAATACGCCGAGAAATGTCAGCAGCACCAATTCGCGCAGATTACAACAAGTATTCCTATTCATATATTTTAGAGGTTCTATGAAAACTAATTCTTACTCATTTTCTGGTCAGAGTTTGAAACACAATACAGGTTAGAAGTTGAAAAATATAGAAAAAGGCCAAAAGAAACATACGAACATTATGTGGATTTTTTAAATTCTACAAATCAACTGTATGATCCAATAAGTGATTCAAGACCTCGTGTAAGTTCTTAAGTGTTAACCGACATATTTTTTGAGATAAATATATGAAACCTCTTTATTATTTCGCAAGTTCTGGTTGGTTCTAATATCTAGGCTCGATTGAATCGAATTTTAATTATTATTCTTAATTGAATATGCAATTTCGAAAAGGGCACATGTCGCATATTTTGACAAATACGTTTTTTCATTTACATGTAGTTTTGGGGCTTACCTACACCCATTTAATAATAATTCCAGTAATTTTCAATTGCTAATTAACACTAAAATATATCTTAAAAGTAAATATTTTAAATTTTATACTGCTTTAGAAAATAATTAGTTTTTTTTCATTTCCTGAAAAGTTTACATTTTCAGAGATGTGCCCTTTTCGAAATGGCATTTCAATTAAAATATAGTGTGCTAGTACAACAGCTGCCCTACTCTTCAAACCGAAACATATTTCTTCTTCACGTTCAAAATAAGCAAGGTTGTTGTACCCATGCGTGCTCAAACCCAATACCACCAGCAGAGACGTCCTACTACTGGTAGAGATGACCTACCACCAGTAAACTTGTAGACTAGTAGTCTTGTAAGTAGACTCAATGATAATATTTTATATGCTTATTTTAAGGATACATTTAACAACACCTACTATCCAAATTATGAAGGGTTGCTCTACACGAAAAATTTTGAAGGAAACATTTTGTTATTCACGAATTGGAATCGTAACAAGCTTTACTGTTGGAATATGGATACTCCGTATGAAGAAGAAAATGTTGATTTACTCTCCAAAGTCGATGAGGCTAACTATAGATTTTCAGGTAACTGTATAAAGAAGTTAAATTACCATTCAGTTCTCAACTTTAAGTGTTCACACTTTGAAGCCGTCGTGGCCTAAATGATAAGACGTCCGGTGAATTTGTATCTAGGGATGCATCGGTGTTCACGATTGACTTCCACAGTGAAGGAATAACATCGTGCAATAAAAATCAAACCACCAAAATTATGATTTGCGTAATTACTGGTGGTAGGACGTCTTGTGAGTCCACACGGGTGGGTACCACCACCACGGAATAGATAAATAAGGTTGGAAAGGCCTTTGCTCTAATTTTGTATTAGAACCAGTGTCGCCGCTTCATCCCCACTATTTTAATTTCTACACATACACATACTGTCATTACAAGTATTTCGCACACAACAAAAACACCCACACATAAATCTCAGGGCAGATATTCGTTCGCAAACTAGCACAAAACTCCTGTAGGCATACACACTCACACACGCAAAAAGGCAATAAAAATGTTCATACACGCTAGTGCTTGATAAAACCGATATTCTTTAACGATAAATTATCTGATGAATGAAAGGGGAAAAATGAAACACGAAATAAATATTGAAAAAAAACTATTTCACTTTTATTAATTACAAATGTTTAGAGCCAATAGTACTCGTCTTTGTCTCCAGCTTCCTCTACTTGTCACGTCAATCCATTGTTCCCTGGCGTTAGGTTCTTTAGGAAACCTAAAATTTTTAATTTAATGCATAAGTCAAATAGCATTTTACTTATATATACCCGTAAATGAGAGGTCTACATGTCTCTTTATATTATACCTTCACATTAATTCAATGATAATAATTCAATAATAATAATACATATTTATTTTACTCAAAATACGTCTCACTAAGAATATACTAGGTATCATT